TCCATCCGTCGATTTTTATTCCTTTACACCACTTATCTTAGAGATTATCTTAGAGATTACTCTCGGAAACTTTTTCTCTCTCACCTTCTTTGTTGCTATCTTTTCGAAAATTCAGAATCACTTCGTTTTTTTCAAACTTATTCCATAATCTGTCTCGCTTTCTTTCTATGCTCACTTTTTGTCTTTCTTTCTACTACCACACACTCTTTCTGGCTGTAATTTTCTTTCTTTCTTTCTTTCTTTACTTCTTTATTTCTAATGTCATGCCCTCTTTCTTTCTATACTCTCTTCTTTCTTTCTTTCTTTCTTTCTTTCTTTCTTTCTTTCTTTATTTATTTATTTATTTATTTATACCTCCATATCCTCTTTATATCTTTCTTTCTATACTCTTTTTTCTTTCTTTCTTCTTTTCCCTCTTTCTTTCCTCTTCCTACCTCCATACCCTCCTCCTTTCTATACTCATTTTTCTTTCTTTCTTTATTTCTTTCTTTCTTTCTTTCTTTCTTCATATCCTCTTTCTACCTCTGTACCCTCATTATATCTTTCTTTCTATACTCTTTTTTCTTTCTTTATTTCTTTCTTTCTTTATTTCTTTCTTTCTTTTTTCTTCCTACCTCAACACCCTCCTTCTTTTTATACTATCATTTTTCTTTCTTTCTTTCTTTCTTTCTTTCTTTCTTTTGTTTCTTCTTCCATACCCTCTTTCTTTCTTTTTTCTTTCTTTCTTTCTTTTTCCTTCCTTCCTTCCTTCCTTTATTTATTTATTTATTTATTTATTTATTTTCTTTCTACCTCCATACCCCTCCCTTCCTTTCTTTCTTTCTTTCTTTTTTCTTCTTTCTTTCTATTTTCTTCATGTCTTTGTTTGTTTCATTTTTCTTTTCGACCTCTATGCCCTGTTTCTTTCTATAATCTTCTTTTTCTTTCTTTCTTTTTTCTTTCTTTCTTTCTTCATACCTTCTTTCTTTCTTTCTTCTTTTCTTTCTACTTCTATGTCCTCTTTCTTTCTTTCTATTTTTCTTTCTCTTTCAATTTCAATTGTTTTGCTTATCTTTTCTTTTCTCACTTCCCTTTCCTTCATTCATTCAGTCATGCATCTTTCGTATACACTCTCGTCTCTATTTTTGTTTTCAAACTCCATTTTATTCAGTTGTTTTTTCTTTCTTTCGTTTTTTTTCTATATTCTCTTTCTTTCTATCTTTCTACTGCCATGCCTTCTTCCTATTTTCCTTCCTGCTTTCTTTCTTTCTTTATTTCGATGCCCACCTTCTCTCCTCCACTCTTTCTTTTTCCATGCACTCGAAAATCTTTCATTTGTTCCTCCTTCCTTTCTTTCTATTCTTTTCTATCTTTTCTTTCCAGTATTATTTCATTCTTTTTCCTTTCTTTCCCACCTCTCTCTCTCTCTCTCTTCTTCGCTTTTTACTTTTTCTTTCTTCTTCCTTTTTACTCTTAATTTAACCTCTTCCTCTTTTTTTCTTTCTCTGTTATTCATTCTTTTTTATAGTATCATTCTCTTTTTTCTTCTTCACTTAATATTGTATTTTTTCTCTTTCTTTAATAACTATTTTCTTCGTTCGTCTATAATTCTTTTTTTTCTCTCTTACTTCTCTTGATCCGTCTCCCTTTTATTCTTCTCCTGTCTCATATTCTACCTTATTTTCTAAATGATCTTTTTCTTTCTTTCTTTCTTTCTTTCTTTCTTTCTTTCTTTAACGTTATCTTTTTTCTTTTCCAACTTCTCTTTTTTCCATCTTTAATTCTTTTTCTTTCTTTCTCTCTTTCTCGCTTCCCCTCTTTATTTTGGATTCGTTTTTTCTTTCTTCTATCTTGTTTTTCTTTCTTTCCATTTTCTTCCAGCTTTTTCTTTCTAAATATATTTTTTTATTTTCTTCTTATTTTACATTCTTTTCTTTCATTTTTGTTTTTTGCCTGATTGATCCTTTCCCCATTTTTCCGATATACTGCGTTTTGTTCTTTGTCTCTTTTTCTTTCTTTTCCTTCTTCAATTCTCTTTCTTTCTTTTTCTTTCTTTCTTTCATTCTTTCTTTCTTTGTTTTTTTCTTTCTCTCTTCTGTTCTTTTTTCTTTTTCTTTACCGATATTCTGTTTTGTTCCTCTTCCCCCCCCCTTTTTCCTTTCTTTTCTTTCTTCTATCCTTTTTCTTTCTTTCTTTTTTCTTTCGTTCTCTTTTTTCTTTTTCTTTTCAATATTCTTCTTTTTTTATTTCTTTCCATTTTCTTACATTTTTCTTTCGCTTTGTTCTTCTTTTCTCTTTCTTTCTTGATTATTTCCTTCCGTTTTTCTTCCTTTCTGATGATTTATCTTTTTCTTTTTAATACACTGTTTTCTTCCTTTCTAATTTCAAATTTTTTCCTTCTTTTTCTTCCTTCGAATCTCTTTCTGCCTGGTATTTTTTTTAATTATTTTTTCATTCTTTTCATTGCTTTCGTTTTTTATTCTTTGTTATAATTTTCTTTTTTTTCAATATTCTTCCTTAACTTCTTTTCCTTTCTTTCTTTCTTTCTTTCTTTCTTTCTTTCTCATGATTTTCTTTTTCTGTCCGATATTGTTTTTCTTTCTAATTTCAGATTTTTCTTTATTTTTAATCTTTTCTATTCTCTTTTTATTTTCTTCCTTTCTTTCTTTCTTTCTTTCTTTCTTTCTTTCTTTTCTTTCTTTCTTTCTTTCTTTCTTCAGATTTGCTTCTTTTTTTCCTTATTTCCTTTCTTCCTTCTTCGTTACTTTTTCGGGATTTTTTATTTCCTTCTATTCTTCCTTTCTTTTCTCAGTACTTTTCTTTCTTTCTTTCTGTCTTTCCTAACTTCTTTTCCTTTCTTTCTTTCTTTTTTCCTTTCTTTCTTTCTTTCCTTCTTTCTTTCTTTCTTTTCTTCTTTTTCCTTTCTTTCTTTTTTCCTTTCCTTCTTTCTTTCTTTCTTTCTCATGATTTTCTTTTTCTTTCCGATATTGTTTTTCTTTCCACTTTCAGGCTTTTCCTTCTTTTTCTCTCTTCTATTCTCTTTTTATTTTCTTCCTTTCTTTCTTTCTTTCTTTCTTTCTTTCTTTCCTTCTCTTTCCTTTATTTCTTTCTTTCTCCTTCTTTCTCCTTTTTTCTTTCCTTCTTTCTTTCTTTCTCATGATTTTCTTTTTCTTTTCGATATTTTCTCTCTACTTTCAGACTTTTCCTTATTTTTTCTCTTTTTTCTATTCTTTCTTTCTTTCTTTCTTTTTTCTTTCTTTTTCTTTCTTTAACGTTATCTTTTTTTTTTTTCTAACTTCTCCTTTCTTCCATCTTTAATTCTTTTTCTTTCTTTCTCTCTTTCTCACTTCCCGTCTTTATTTTGGATTCCTTTTTTCTTTCTTCTATTTTGTTTTTCTTTCTTTCCATTTTCTTCCAGCCTTTTCTTTCTAAATATTTTTTATTTACTTCTCTTTTTTCTTTCTTTTTTGTTTTTTGCTTGATTGATTCTTTCCCCCTTTTTTCTGATATGCTGCGTTTTGTCCTTTCTCATTTTTCCTTTCTTTTGTTCTTCACTTCTCTTTCTTTCTTTCTTTCTTTCTTTCTTTTTCTGTCTTTCTTTCTTTCTCCCGTTCTTTTTTCTTTACCGATATTCTATTTTGTTCCTCTTTCCCCACTTTTTCCTTTCTTTTCTTTCTTCTATCCTTTTTCTTTCTTTCTTTTTTCTTTCGTTCTCTTTTTTCTTTTTCTTTTCAATATTCTTCTTTTTTTATTTCTTTCCATTTTCTTACATTTTTCTTTCGCTTTGTTCTTCTTTTCTCTTTCTTTCTTGATTATTTCCTTCCGTTTTTCTTCCTTTCTGATGATTTTTCTTTTTCTTTTTAATACACTGTTTTCTTCCTTTCTAATTTCAAATTTTTCCCTTCTTTTTCTTCCTTCGAATCTCTTTCTGCCTGGTATTTTTTTTTTTATTATTTTTTCATTCTTTTCATTGCTTTCGTTTTTTTTTCTTTGTTATAATTTTCTTTTTTTTCAATATTCTTCCTTAACTTCTTTTCCTTTCTTTCTTTCTTTCTTTCTTTCTTTCTTTCTCATGATTTTCTTTTTTCTGTCCGATATTGTTTTTTCTTTCTAATTTCAGATTTTTTTTTTATTTTTTTATCTTTACTATTCTCTTTTTATTTTCTTCTTTCTTTTTTTTTCTTTTCTTTCTTTCTTTCTTTTCTTTCTTTCTTTCTTTCTTTCTTTCTTTCTTTCTTCAGATTTGCTTCTTTTCTTCCTTATTTCCTTTCTTCCTTCTTCGTTACTTTTTCGGGATTTTTTATTTCCTTCTATTCTTCCTTTCTTTTCTCAGTACTTTTCTTTCTTTCTTTCTGTCTTTCCTAACTTCTTTTCCTTTCTTTCTTTCTTTTTTCCTTTCTTTCTTTCTTTCCTTCTTTCTTTCTTTCTTTTCTTCTTTTTCCTTTCTTTCTTTTTTCCTTTCTTTCTTTCTTTCTTTCTTTCTTTCTCATGATTTTCTTTTTCTTTCCGATATTGCTTTTCTTTCCACTTTCAGGCTTTTCCTTCTTTTTCTCTCTTCTATTCTCTTTTTATTTTCTTCCTTTCTTTCTTTCTTTCTTTCTTTCTTTCCTTCTTTTTCCTTTATTTCTTTCTTTCTCTCCTTCTTTCTCACTTTTTTCTTTCCTTCTTTCTTTCTTTCTCATGATTTTCTTTTTCTTTTCGATATTTTCTCTCTACTTTCAGACTTTTCCTTATTTTTCTCTTTTCTATTCTCTTTCTTTCTTTCTTTCTTTCTTTCTTTCTTTAACGTTATCTTTTTTCTTTTCTAACTTCTCCTTTCTTCCATCTTTAATTCTTTTTCTTTCTTTCTCTCTTTCTCACTTCCCGTCTTTATTTTGGATTCCTTTTTTCTTTCTTCTATTTTGTTTTTCTTTCTTTCCATTTTCTTCCAGCCTTTTCTTTCTAAATATTTTTTATTTACTTCTCTTTTTTCTTTCTTTTTTGTTTTTTGCTTGATTGATTCTTTCCCCCTTTTTTCTGATATGCTGCGTTTTGTCCTTTCTCATTTTTCCTTTCTTTCGTTCTTCACTTCTCTTTCTTTCTTTCTTTCTTTCTTTCTTTTCTGTCTTTCTTTCTTTCTCCCGTTCTTTTTTCTTTACCGATATTCTGTTTTGTTCCTCTTTCCCCACTTTTTCCTTTCTTTTCTTTCTTCTATCCTTTTTCTTTCTTTCTTTTTTCTTTCGTTCTCTTTTTTCTTTTTCTTTTCGATATTCTGCTTTTTTTATTTCTTTCCATTTTCTTACATTTTTTCTTTCGTTTTGTTCTTCTTTTCTCTTTCTTTCTTGATTATTTCCTTCCGTTTTTTTTCCTTCCTCATGATTTTTCTTTTTCTTTCTAATACACTGTTTTCTTCCTTTCTAATTTCAAATTTTTTCCTTCTTTTTCTTCCTTCGAATCTCTTTCTGCCTGGTATTTATTTTTTATTTATTTTTTCATTCTTTTCATTGCTTTCGTTTTTTTTTCTTTGTTATAATTTTCTTTTTTTTCAATATTCTTCCTTAACTTCTTTTCCTTTCTTTCTTTCTTTCTTTTCTTTCTTTCTTTTCTTTCTTTCTTTCCTTCTTTCTTTCTTAACTTCTTTTCCTTTCTTTCTTTCTTTCTTTCTTTTCTTTCTTTCTTTCCTTCTTTCTTTCCTTCTTTCTTTCTTTCTTTCTTAACTTCTTTTCCTTTCTTTCTTTCTTTCTTTCTTTTTTCCTTTCTTTCTTTTTTCCTTTCCTTCTTTCTTTCTTTCTTTCTTTCTCATGATTTTCTTTTTCTTTCCGATATTGTTTTTCTTTCTACTTTCAGATTTTTCTTTATTTTTTATCTTTTCTATTCTTTTTTTTTCTTCTTTCTTTCTTTCTTTCTTTCTTTCTTTCTTTATTTATTTATTTATTTATTTGTTTATTTACTTTTTATGATTGTTTTCTTTCCAATATTGTTTTCTTTCTTCTTTCTTATTTTTCGTTTTTTTTTCTTTCCTCCATTCTCTTTTTTTCAGTCTTTCTTTCTTTCTTTCTTTCTTTCTTTCTTTCTTTCTTTCTTTCTTTTAATATTTATTTTAAGTACTTTTTTTTTGTTCTTTACTTCACGGTTTCGTTTTTCTCTTAATTCATCTTCTATTCCCTTTCTTTTCCTTTTCTTCTTTCTTTTATTCCCCACGTCTTCATTCTTTTTCTCTCCCCCCTCCCGCTACCATCTTGACTTTTTCTCACTTTACTTTATTCATCCCCCTCTAAACTGTTTTTTTTTTTAAATCTATTTTCTTAATATTACCATATTCATCCAATTCCACACGCCACAGCTTGGGCATGTCGGAAAAAGAAGCGGCTTCCCCGAACCATTCCGACAGAACACGGCGTCAGGCAACGCAGAATGTTTGGCCCCCACGCTATTAAAACAGGCTTCAAGATTGATGGATGACAAAGATTGCATATATGCTCCCACACGCAAAAAAATTATCACCAAAAGTATTGCCAGTCCCGCCCGAATACACTCAGGGCAGCTGAACACTGAGATCCTGTTACAGAGGACGTTCGAAAATAAAATAAAAGAAAAAGAAAAGCGTGAAGAAAAGGTTAACTACGAAATCTGAAAAGACAGAATATGTGGTCACCAAAGAGAGAGTACCCAAGACGCGGGCAATGAATTGGAAACGTCACTATCAGGCAAATACAGGTATGTAACTGCCTTGTTAGTATGGTATAAGACGGGCTATGATCCACATTGATGATATTTCGGCAGGGTTAGAGTTAGGAGATACAATGAAATCAAGATAAAAAAAAAATTTTATCATCATCCTAAAAACAACTTTGCTACTAGTGAGGAAAATGAGAAAATCGGCTTTTATGATTGGACGCAATAACTGGCCAATGAATAATCAAATGGAATATGTTTTGTGATTCGATTGGTTGGAGAGGTGGGTTCCCGAGGGTATTATTGTGTTACCTTGCATCTCCATCTAGCAAATGCATTATATATAGAATATAGGGAGATGTGAATTCATGCCTTGCCCAACAGTAGCTAGTGAAAATAAGCAGCCACACCCAAAATTCAAAAACGATTTGTTTTCTATTTTCGTGTCTGTAACTGTTATGTTACCATCCACGTCCATGTAGTGGATATATAAAATTCAGGGAGAAATAGATTCATGCCTTTCACAAGGAAATACTCAGCAAGCAGACGTAAGCATGTTCAGGTCGGAATTTGAACTTCGTTTGCCAATTCCGTTTTCAGGTGTTGATAAATATTATTCGACCTTGCGTCTCCATTTACATATATAAAATGCAGGGAAAGGTGGGTTCATGCTCTTCCTGACGATATTATTGCAAAGTGAACATAAAGAGCCTCACTCGAAATTCGAACTCGGTTTGTTGATTCTGTTTTGTGAAGCTGGCTCTCAGACGACATTGCATCTATCTATCTATCTATCTATCTATCTATCTATCTATCTATCTATCTAATTCTATTTATATCTATGTGTGTCATTGTACAGTTCTTGTGGTTTACATGCTATTCAAGATTATGAATTTATCTTCTTAAAAATCGGCTTTTATGATTGGCCAATCAATAATTAAATGGAATATGTTCTGTGTTTTGATTGGTAGATCCTTCAGGCGCAAGAGAAATTATAGCCAATAAAAACAGTCGTTGTTGTGTGAGGCTTCCACATTAGACATCATCTTTGCTGGACGTATAAGCAACAACTGTCGAAGAAATTCTGAACGAAGCAATCTGCTCGTTTACCAACCTGTCCCAAGAGTAGCCGGTGCTCAAATTAAAATAAGTACATAGATAAATATAGGTATATGTTTTGATATTGCCATTTAAGGATCGTTGTAAATTACGCTTGTGGTATGAAAAACGCCATGAGACATAGAAGTTGGAAGTCTTGGTTTTAATTCTCAGACAGATGTTATGAAGTGATGTTTATTCCAAATGATAACAGAATGTGTTCTTCCGGGATTATTCTTCATTGAAATGATGCACAAATTTCTGTCTGCAAAAAAGACTCGCATGTTTTGCCTGCAAAGAGAAGAAAAATTGATTTTATTTAATTTTTACAATTTTGCACTGTAGATCGGTCCTTTTAAATCGATTAAATGGTGCAATATAATTAATATAACAAAGAAGTATCCATACAAAGAATAAATCAGTAAAGTTAATGTAATTAATGGGAGTTCAATTCGCTAACAGATTTAATAAAGCATTAACCTACTAACCACACGTTGAATGACATCCCTCCTTGAAATTTAAAAGCTGACGATTTCAAACGTTATCCTCAACAACGAAATACTCGGAACAAGCAAAAAAAGTAAGTAAGCATAAACTTTTTAAGAAACAAAAGAAAGTAACACTGTGAATATTTTTAACACACACCATACCAATAACTGTAATTCACATCACGAAAAAGAAAAAAAAACAACTCTCATGTTATGTCTGCAAAGAGAATAAAGGTTTATTTTATTTAATTTTAAAAGTTCAAAATTTTTAGACAAGAACTCTATTTAGAAACGATCGAGTCAAGAACTCCCAGAGTTACAAATGAACTTGTAATATTCTGTTATAATCCAAAATGATGCTTGATATTTCATAATTGTAAAAATAACTTTGCCATCAGTGATGATAGAAAATAAAGATAAAAAATTTCATCACTCTAAAAGCAACCTTGTCACCAGTGATGAAAGATTAAAAAAAGTAATTTCATCATTATAAAATCTGATTATAAAAATGACGCTTCCACCACAAGCAAGGGTATTCAGTCAGTCTACTGATTCTACTTCACTGACTGACTGAATACCCTACTGAGTAGCAAGTAGCAAAGGCAGTAGTAAGAAGAAGCACAAAACAATGTATGGCCATCGCTCCGGAAAATCGAAAGTTGATGATCTCAAACGTTATCCTCACCAACGAAATTCTCGGAACAAGCTAAAAAAAAATAAGCCCTAACGTTTAAAGAAACAAGAGACAGTAACACTGAGAACATTTTTAACACACACTGCATCAATATCTGTAATAGAAATCAGGAATTAGAAAAATACAAATACTTGTTATTAATATCAACGCGTGTCTAAAGTCTTATTGCTGTCATCGTTGTACGTGATATGTATTTTAATTTTTGTCATAAACATCAACAGTACAGCAACACTGTTATAGTGATGTAATGGAATAACTTACCACCCCCATAAGTGACTACACTATAGGTAGTAACTACCTATAAGTATATGCTTGTCAACGGACTACAGAGACTTGCTGGGATCTGTTACTCAGTATTTATCGAACTCTCTGCCTTGGAACGGCAGAGTCTTGTCCGGGGAGGTAGACAGACCCGGACCCGTTTATGCAGAGTTACGGGGAATTTGTGGCTGAGGCTACGGGCTCGGACTGCCCCACGTTCAACTCGGCCTTGTGTCACATCCTTCCTTGTGGGGAGACAGGTAAATACCGACTTGCTGGAATCTGTTACTCAGATCTTAGCTGCTGTCGAACTCTCTGCCTTAAGAGAGGAACCTGCCGAAGGGCAGAGTCTCGTCCGGGGAGGTAGACAGACTGGAACCCGTTTATGTGGAGTTACAGGGAATTTTTGGCTGAGCCTACGGTCTCAGATTGTCCCACATTAAACTCAGCCTTGTGCCACATCCTACCTCGTGCGGAGGCTGGTAAATATTGACTTGCTAGGATCTGTTGAGTACGACTCAGACTTACGCAAGAACTACCTACCTTCCAATAGTAGCACTCGCTACTGGATTGACTTGCGACGACCTTTGTGCATAACTGTTACATTTATTTTTATTGTACTGTTTTTTTTTGGGGGGGGGTACAGTAAAATTTTACTTTTTTTATCCACCTTGTTTTTCAAGTATGTATTCTGATTAGCACAGAATATAAAATATAGTTAGCAAATAATATCACGTCGGGATAACTACTACATCAACACCCGACTTATCAACGCCGCCACATCTCAAAAATAAATTAAAGTAAATGATTAATATAATGAATGAAAGTTAATTAATTATATAATGAATTAAAGTAAATTAATGAAGGAATTAAGCAGAGTAGCTGTAGTAAAAAAGGCACAGCACACACGTCTCGCCAATCGCTTCGTTAAAATCGAAAACTAACGATCTCAAACGCCATCCTCACAAATGAAATTCTCGGAATAATCGAAAACAAGTAAGCACAAACCTTTAAAGAAACAAAAGAGACAGTAACAGTGAGAACATTTCAACACACTATACTAATGTATAATTCACATCACGAAAAAAAAAAAATACACATTCTTGTCATTATTGTCTACACATGTCTCAAGTCTTGTTTGTGTTATCTTTATACGCTTTGTGCATTTTAATTTCAATATATAAAGAAAAGGTAAAAAGGATTCCTCTCTAAACTACTGCTACAAACACACATAAAAACGGAATAATTTCTTTAACTGCTTCAAGCCAAATCTGCATTGACAGAACTAAAGATGCCTTTTCGGAAATTAATAATTAATTTGGAATAACAGTTTATAGGTGTCCCTAACGTCGAAACTCGAAATGTGTCTCTAGAAATCTCAAAGGTTTGACTGGTTTTGGTATGATGGTCTTCTACAAAAAAAAAACAACTCCAGGGCAACAAGAAAGAAAGAAAGAAAGAAAGAAAGAAAGAAAGAAAGAAAGAAAGAAAGAAAAATTGA